TAAACTGAACGTTACTATGAGAAAGTGCGTCGGTTGTTAAAAGGTAAGCTAGTTACAAAGGCACTTTAGCGATAAGCATATGTCCTTGAAACTACTGTTCTGTTAGAAGAAATTTCAAAATCCTGACAAAGCATCGTCCTCCTGATTTATCGGGATGATTTTAAAGCATTTTGAAACCGATGTAAGCATGTATTGTTCCGCTGGCATAAACACACTCTGCCGGCCCACAACGACAAATGAATCATGAAAGTCCTGCAAGCTAAAATCACACTAAGAATTAAAGAATTGTCATACCAATGGTGTCTTAGCTCTAGTAGGCGAAGCCTTCACGTTTGACGGATCAGGAGACATGGTTTTCCGCAGTAGAGGGACGCTTTGTGGCCGCGGAGGCAAAGGAGATTTTGAAGTCGTCGCCATGTTTGATCTTTTCAAATCATTCTGCGCGCCTAAATCATCGGAAGTAGTCGGATAACCCGAGTGAGTTCCGATTATCTCCGACTTTTTCAAGCGAACTCTCCCCTGGCTGTCGGTGTACTTTGAAAATGATAAAAATATTATATTATAATATATGTTATGTCGAATAACATCCTGACATAGCAACATATATTATCCATCCCTCTTTTTTAACCAGACAGACAATTTTCATCTTTTTCAGATTCTTTTGTCTGGATTTGACTGTATCAAGGTTACAGCCTGAAAAGCTCAAAATCTATCGCAGAAAACCAAGTTAGTAAAGTCGTCTGTGACCATTTTTCAACCGAGTCTTTCACAATGAATAATTTAAACAATGGTTAACTTATTTGGACCGATGTTTATTGATTTTTCTGTGATGTTATTAATCGTAGAGTCTCACTAAAATATCTGAACTCACCATGCCATTGCGTGCACGGCTGATATCAAATAGTTTGCCGCCTAAATGGCCTTCGAGAATTGTATTCACCCAAAATTCGACAAAGTATAAGCAATTAAAGATCTATTTGAACTAGAAATAATGTGTCTAACGCTTTATGCATACAGCGAACAATGTACTATGCACAACAGAAAACAATCAAAATGTACACAACACAAATCAATAGTTAAAAACAGAAATCTAAATTTCATCCACAAGACACAGGCCTTG